AAGCACTTGGGGCCCTCCCTCCCACCTGCCTTTCCCTGGGCCACAGGCAGAGAGCCTGGGACTGGAAGGAGGGAGCAACTGGGGTCAGGAAATCTGGTGCCCCCAACCTGGGACTAGGAACCGGGAAGTGCCGGTGCCATAAAGCAGAGGGTTTAGCCCAAGTGAGGCCGAGGTTGCCCGCCCCAAATGATTTGCTTTTTCTTATTGTTGAACCCAGACTTTGCATACCTGGAATAAAATTCTTCTGGGTTCATGTCATATAATTTAATTTTAAACAATTGTTGATTTCAAGTTTAAATTTTTTTTTTTTTTTTTTTTGACAGGCCAGAGTGGGAGAGTGGACAGTGAGAGAGAGAGACAGAGAGAAAGGTCTTCCTTTTGCCGTTGGTTCACCCTCCAATGGCCGCCGCGGCTGGCGCGCTGCGGCCGGCGCACCACGCTGATCCGGTGGCAGGAGCCAGGAGCCAGGTGCTTTTCCTGGTCTCCCATGGGGTGCAGGGCCCAAGCACCTGGGCCATCCTCCACTGCACTCCCTGGCCACAGCAGAGGGCTGGCCTGGAAGAGGGGCAACCGGGACAGAATCCGGCGCCCTAACCGGGACTAGAACCTGGTGTGCCGGCGCCGCTAGGCGGAGGATTAGCCTAGTGAGCCACGGCGCCGGCCGTACTTCTTAAAAATATTTATTTACTGGGGCCGGCGCTGTGGCACAGTAAGTTAATCCTGCACCTGAGGCGCTGGCATCACATATGCACGCAGGTTCTAGTCTTGGCTGCTCCTCTTCCAATTCAGCTCTCTGCTATGTATGGCCTGGGGAAAGCAGTAGAAGATGGCACAGGTGATTGGGCCCCTGCACCCGCGTGGGAGACCTGGAGGAAGCTCCTGGCTCCTGGCTTCAGATCGGTGCAGCTGCGACCGTTGTGGCCATTTGGGGAGTGAACCAGCAGATGGAAGACCTTTCTCTCTGTCTCTCCCTCTCACTGTCTGTAATTTTACCTCTCAAATAAATAAATAAAATCTTTCAAAAAAGGAGAAAACTTAAAAAATTATTTATTATTTGAAAAGCAGAACAAGAGAGAGAGAGAGAGAGAGATACCATCCATCCACTGGTTTGTTCTCTAAGTGGCCACAATGACCAGGGCTGGGCCAGGCCATAGCCCGGAGCTTCATCTTGGTCACCCATATGGGTGCAGGGGCTCAAGTACTCAGGCCCTTCCACTGCTTTCCCAAACACATTAGCAGGGATTTGGATCAGAAGTGGAGTAGCCTGGACTTGAACAAGGGCCCGTTTGGGATGCCAGTGTTGTAGGCAGTGGCTTAACCTGCTGTACCACAGCACTGGCCCCAATAAATAAACCTTTAAAGTAGGAATAAGTAAATTCATGTATTAACCACAAGTGCTGTGTTATGACTATAAGAGAGGGTGCTTTTTTAGAGTAGGAACTAAAAAATACACACCACGCTTTATCAAATGCAATGACAATTATATCTGAAAACCGGTCTGCAGTCAGGAGCTCTCGTGTCTATTTTCAGCTCTAATACTGAGTCACTGTGTGGCTTGAGGCAAGTCACTTAACACTTGGACCTCAGCTTCTCCATACAAAAAATGGCAATTAAAATACTTGTGGGATTGAGGAACTAGCATGTGAGCCACTACTATGTGTTCGTCCCATGCTAGGCACTTTGTATTACATTGTTGGATTTCATTCAATCATTCAACAAATATTTGTGGAGTACCCATTATGTACAGGATGTTCTACCTGGTCTCAGGCAAAAAAAAAAAAGCCTTGTTCTCCCGGAGCTTAAATTCCAGAGAGGCAAGGTGATAACAAACAAGGAAAGAAATATCTGAGCCATTCTCAGACAGTGACAAGTGCTATGTGGACCACAAAACCAGGCGATGGCGATGTGACAGAAAGCAAGCTGAGGACGGGTTACTTATGAAGGGCGGGCTCTCTAGGAGGCGACACTGGAGTCAGAACGTGGATGACGGGGAGCACACTGCAGAGTCCAGAGTCCCCCAGACAAGATGAGGAAGGCTTATCATTAGTGCAAAGGCCCCGAGGCAGGTCGGAACTGTTTGGAAGGTCAGGAGGCTGCAAAGGACGGCAGGAGTGGGGAGCTGCAGGAAGTCATCAGAGTGTACGACGCTGGAGACTAGGCAGGAGCCTGGCCACAGGGCCCTCTGGGCTGTGGCAAGGAGTCTGGATTTTATTCTAACTGATCTGATTTACAGTTTATAAAAAAAATAATCTGAGCATTTTAATAAGTATGATTAATACTCAACAGTGAAAGCAGAGATAACAGTAAGAGGCTGTTGGCTTGTTGGGTGAGAGAAGCAAGCTTATCTGAGAAGGGTCTGGTAGGAAATAGTTCAGGCTTCTTGGGTCACGTAGGCTGTCACGAATTCTCTTACTCCTGCTCCTCCACCCCTTCCTCCTTTGCAGAAAACTCTGTAAAGACATTCTTCGCTCCTGGGCAATACAAAAACAAGAGGCTGCATGGTGGATTTGACCTGCCTGGCTAGAGACTATCTATGGACCCCAGGTTTGGAGAGAAGTAGAAACTGGGGCAGGCATTTTGGTACAGCAGTTAAGACACCACTTGGGATGCCCCTGGGTTCAAGGCCTGGCCCTGCTTCAGATTCCAAGATCCTGCTAATGCGTACCCTGGGAGGCAGTGGCAATAGCTCAAGAACCCGGGTTCCTGCCAACTTGTGGGAGACCCACATCAAGTTCTGGTCTCCTAGCTTCAGCCTGGTTCAGCCCTGGCTGGCTGTTGAGGGCAGTTAGGGAGTGAACCAGCAGATAGAAGACCTCTCTGTATCTGCCTCTGCCTCTCTGTAACTCTACCTTCCAAAAAAAAAACAAAAATAAAAAACAATTTTGGGGCCAGTGTTGTGGCATAGTGGGTAAAGTCGCTGCCTACAGTGCCAGCCTCCCATATGGGCACTGGTTCGAGTCCTGACTGCTCCACTTCCATTCCAGCTCTATGCTATGGCCTGGGAAAGCAGTGGAAGATGGCCCAAGTCCTTGGGCCCCTGCACCTACATGGGAGACCTGGAAGATCCTGGCTCCTGGCTTTGGATCAGTGCAGCTCCGGCTGTTGTGGCCAATTAGGGAGTCAACCAGTGGATGGAAGACCTCTCTCTCTCTCTCTCTCTCTCTCTCTCTGCCTCTCTCTCTCTGCATAACTCTGACTTTCAAATAAATAAATAAATCTTTCTTTAAAAAAAGCCTTTAAAATAGAGAGAAGTAGAATGGGTCAGCATATATTCAGGACACAGAACAGACAGGACTGGCTGATGAACTGGCTCTGAGCAGAGAGGGGGAAGAGAAAGAGGGAACAAGGATGGTCTCGGTGACTGGGTGGAAGGTGGCACCATTCACTGAGAAGGGGAAGAAGCAGATTTGGGAATGGGGGAGAAGGGAAATCAAGAGTTAAGTATGAGTTGCCGATTAGTCATCAAAGTGGAGAGGGGCCTGCATTGTGGCACAGTACATTAAGCCGTCGCCTGTGACATTGGCATTCCATACAAGCTGGTTCGAGTCTCAGCTGTTACACTTCTGATCCAGCTCCCTGCTAAAGTGCCTTGGAAAGCAGCAGAAGTTGGCCCACATCCTGCCACCCATTTGGGAGACCCAGATGGAGTTCTGGGCTCCTGGCTTTGGCCTGACCCAGACCTGGCTGTTGTGGCTATTGGGGAGTAAACCAGTGGACAGATCTCTGTCTCTCCCTGTCTCTCTGAAGCTCTGCCTTTCAAATAAATAAAAGAAATCTTAAAAGTGGAGACGTTGGGGCCGGTGCTGTGGCGTAGTGGGTAAAGCCGCCGCCTGTGGCGCCGCCATCCCATATGGGTGCCAGTTCAAGTCCTGGCTGCTCCACTTCTGATCCAGCTCTTTGCTATGACCTGGGAAAGCAGCAGAAGATGGCCCAAGTCCTTGGGTCCCTGCACCCACGTGGGAGACCTGGAAGAAGCTCCTGGCTCCTGGCTTTGGATGGGTGCAGCTCCAGCTGTTGCAGCCAGCTGGGGAGTGAAGCAGCAGATGGAGACCTCTTTCTCTTTTTCTGCCTCTCCTTCTCTCTCTGTGAAACTCTAACTTTCAAATAAATAAATAATAAAAAAGTGGAGATGTGTACTAGGGGGCTCATCATAGACTCCAGAGCTCGAGGACAGGTCAGGGCTGGGATCATCTCTGGGAGTTTTTGCCTACGGCTGCATTTCAAGTCCTGAGATTGGATGACATGAGCTGATGGGCAGCACATAGGTCCCTGATCCTGGGAGACTGCAACATTTAGGGTCCCACTGAAGAGACCCTTGGACCCACACTCTGGGTCAGAGTGGGACACATGACAACTGTGAAACTGCTTTCCAAAGGGGTCTCTGCATCTTCCCAGACCCCGTCTTGTCTGAGCCATGTAAATGCTCACACGAGTGGACGAGGTTTCCATCCTGCTCTCCAATTCCCCAGCAGACAGGGAGGAACTGTTTGTTGCTTTACTGTGTCCTCCAGTGGAAACAAGAATGCATTTTTCAATTAATAAAAAGTGAGACTGGGGCTGGCATTGTGGCATAAGAGCTAAAGCCACCACCTACGACACCAGCATCCCATATATGAACACGGGTTTGAGTCCCATTTGCTCCACTTCCAATCCAGCTCCTTACTAATGGCCTGGGAAAGCAGCAAAGGATGGCCTAAGTGCTTCCAGGAAGTCCTGGAACAGGCCCCTGGCTCCAAGCTTTGGATCGGCCCTGCCCCAGTCATTGTGGCCATCTGGGGAGTGAACCAGCAGATGGAAGATCTCATTGTCTCTCCTTCTCTCTGTTACTCTGACTTTCAAATAAATTAATTAATCTTTTTTTTGAATTTTTAAATTTATTTATTTATTTTTTGACAGGCAGAGTGGATAGTGAGAGAGAGAGACAGAGAAAGGTCTTCCTTTTGCCGTTGGTTCACCCTCGAATGGCCGCTACAGCTGGCGTGCTGTGGCCGGTGCACCGCGCTGATCCGAAGGCAGGAGCCAGGTGCTTCTCCTGGTCTCCCATAGGGTGCAGGGCCCAAGCACTTGGGCCATCCTCCACTGCCTTCCTGGGCCACAGCAGAGAGCTGGCCTGGAAGAGGGGCAACCAGGACAGAATCCGGCACCCCGACCAGGACTAGAACCCGGTGTGCTGGCGCCGCTAGGTGGAGGATTAGCCTATTGAGCCGCAGCGCCGGCCATAAATTTATTAATCTTTAAAAAAAGAAAAATGAGATTGGCATTGCGGCACAGTGGGTCAAGCTGCGACCTGTGATGCCTGTGTCCCATATTGGAACACTGATTGTAGTTCTGGCTGCTCTGCTTCTGATCCAGCTCCCTGCTAATGTGCCTGGGAAAGCAGCAGCAGAAGGCTCAAATGCTTGGGTCCCCTGCACCCACGTGGGAGACCTGGATGGAATTCCAGGCTCCTGACTTCAGCTTGGCCCAGCACTAGTTGTTGTAGCCATTTGGGGAATGAACCAGTGAATGAAAGAGTCTCTTTCTCTCTCTCTCTCTCTCTCTCTCTCTCTCAGTTCTCTTTCAAGTAAATAAAATAAATAGGTAAAAATAAAGAAATAAAAATATATGCATTGTTGCTGAAACTGTACCTAAGCTCTACACACATTTGGATGAAGTACGTTTGTGTGAAACAGCTAAGCAACAATGGAAGGGATTTGCTGCTGAGCCTGCTGCTAGGAGCCAAGAAACCAGTCTTGCATTCACTGAGCTGTTATTTATGGAACCTCAGTGCCAGGCACTATCTTAGGGTCAGAAGATAAAGCAGTGAACAAAACAGACAAAAATCTCCATTCTCACAAAGCAGACACTCCTCAGAGGTAGACTAGCAAGTCAGGCGTACACTACGTGAGGTAGTGGTGAGTGCTAACAGGGGAACTACGGAAGGCGGGGAGGAAGACGGGAGGTTGCGCAGGTGAGGGTAAGTAAGAATGTAAGAACAAGGAAGTTGTGGCTCAGGCAAGTTACTCAACTTCTCCGAGTCTCGGCCTCTTCATCTAAAATCAGAAAGCACAGCACCTTCTCCGGGAAGGCTCAGGCCCTCTGACCATCCACTGTAAGCCACCGGGTTTTTTTTTTTTTTTTTTGTAAATATTTGTTTATTTGAAAGACAGAGATAGAGAGAGAGAAGAGAGAGAAGGGGAGAGAGAGAGATCTTTCATCTGCTAGTTCACTCCCAATGTGAACTGTGCCTATCAGAAGCCAGGAGCCAGGAACTTCCTTCTGGGTCTCCCACGTGGGTGCAGGGGCCCAAGCACTTGGACGATCTTCTACTGATTTCCCAGGCCACAGCAGACAGCTGCATCAGAAGTGGAGCAGCTGGGACTGGAACCAGCGCCCATATGGGATGCCAGTACTGCTGGCAGAGGCTTAACCTTTGACTCCACAGTGCCAGTCTCAAGCTATAGGATTTTTAGGTATTGAAAAAGATTCTCTGATTGACCAAACTCTACTCAGGCTGAATGGAGCACTTGTCAACTCAACCTTGACTTTTTAAGTTTTTTTTTAAAGATTTATTTTATTTATTTGAAAGACAGAGTTACACACACACACACACAGAGAGAGAGAGAGAGAGAGAGAGAGAGAGAGAGATCTTCCATCTGCTGGTTCACTCCTGATGGTTACAATGGCCAGAGCTGCGCTGAGCCGAAGCCAGGAGCCAGGAGCCAGGAGCCAGGAGCTACTTCTGGGTCTCCCATGCAGGTGCAAGGGCCCAAGGACTTGGGCCATCTTCCACTGCTTTCCCAGGCCATAGCAGAGAGCTGGATGGGAAGAGGAGCAGCTGGGACTAGAACCGGCACCTATTTGGGATGCCAGTGCTTCAGGCCAGGGCTTCAACCCACTGCGCCACAAGGCCAGCTCCAACCTTTCAAGTTTTTATTTATTTTCATTTTATATGAAAGGCAGAGATAAAGATCTTCCATCTACTGGTTCACTCTGCAAATGCCTGCAACAGCCAAGGCCAGGCTAGACTGAAGCCAGGAGCCAAGAACTCAAGCCAGGTTTCCCACTTGGTAGGAGGGACACAAGTACCCGAGCCTTTCCAGGGTGCACATTAGCAGGAAGGCAGATGAGAAGCAGAGCCGAGACTCCAGCCAGGGACTCAGATATGCACTTGCACCAAATAACCATAACCACCGCACCAAATGCCTGGCTCCAGATCCCGACTTTGGAATTTCTGTGTCTTGGCATTGTCCCATTTTAGTATGAACTCAGGAAGTCACAGAGAAATATTTCCATCCACTGGTTCTCTCCTCAAATGACAACAGCTGGCACTGGGCCAAGCTGAAGCCAGAAGCCTGGAACTTCAACCAGGTCTTCCATGTGGGTGGCAGGGGCCCAAGTACTTGAGCCATCTTCCACTGCTCTCTCAGGTCATTAGTAGGGAGCAGAACAGTTGGGCCTTGAACCAGCACCCAGATACAGGATTCTGTGTCAGCAACAGCTTAACCTGCTACTCCCACAATGTAAGCCCCACCCGATATTTCTTCTTAGTAATTTTCCATCCACTGACCACACCCTGATCCTTGCTATAGTTTCCTACTTTTCCATGAATGTGGAGCTGAGCCTGATCTCTCTCCCCTATTCTCTCTGGGTTGTGGCAGTCCCAGGAGACCTATCTCCACAGTCTCTTTTGAATAGAGAAAATCTGTTTCATTGATTTATTTTTTTTTTGACAGGCAGAGTTAGACAGTGAGAGAGAGAGACAGAGAGAAAGATCTTCCTTCCATTGGCTCACCCCCCCAATGGCTGCTACAGCCGGAGCTACGCCGATCCGAAGCCAGGAGCCAGGTGCTTCCTCCTGGTCTCCCAAGCGGGTGCAGGGCCCAAAGACGTGGGCCATCTTCCACTGCCTTCCCGGGCCACAGCAGAGAGCTGAACTGGAAGAGGAGCAACCGAGACAGAATCCGGCGCTCTAACCGGGACTAGAACCCGGGGTGCTGGCGCCGCAGGCAGAGGATTAGCCA